ATCACCGATCGGGCCAATCACGCCACCGAACTCATGAGGGATTTGGACGATATCACCAGATTTCGGGCCATTGTTGTGGTGTCGGGCGACGGACTGTTGTACGAAGTGGTCAACGGATTGACGCAAAGGGCGGATACGCTGAGCGAAGGCCGCATTCCGGTGCCGTTGGGTATAATACCGGGCGGTTCTGGCAATGGTTTGGCCCATTCGGTGAACCAGGCGTTTCTCAATCGCGTCAAATCAATGGATCCGGTGTATGACTGCACACTACACGTGACTCAGGGCCGACCGGTGCCCATGGATTTGGTTCGGGTCACCACTGCTCACAATACTTACTACTCATTCCTGTCGCTCGGGTGGGGACTGATGGCCGACATTGACATCGAGAGCGAGCGGTTACGTATGTTAGGAGAGCCCAGGTTTACGATTTGGGCGCTCTATCGGTCGTTTGTGTTGCGCAAGAATAGGGCGACACTCAGCTATCTTCCGGCCGACACGAGTACCGCCGCCACACCTGTGCCCGCACTTCACGAGCCGCTCACTGACCACTGGGTCACCGTTGAGGACACTTTCGTACAGATCTACTCGTCATTCCAGTCGCACATCAACTCGACGGCTGTGTTCGCGCCGGCGGCCACTCTCGACGACGGCCTCATTTGGTTGCTCTTCATTCGGGGCAGTGTTTCCCGCAAACAAGTCATTCAATTTCTGTTGGCTCTGGAAAAGGGCAAACACCCGACCCTACCCTACATCACCTTTTTGCCGGTCCGCGCCTTTCGGATCGAGCCGTACGCCAATGTCGGCCGCATTACCGTCGATGGAGAACTAGTCGAGTCCGGTCCTGTCCAGGCACAGGTCGTGCCCCGAATGGCAGCCATATTGACCCGATAGCACCCGACGGCCGCTTTGTCTACGAAACCCCCTTTTTATCACATTAAATGTCTTTATTTTTATTGTTTTTAATGAAATTAATGCTAATTTTTGATATGAAAATGAGTGATAATTGCGTTAAAGTTTTAATCGATTAATGGATTTGAGATTTTAGTATTTTTTAATTTATTTTTTAACAATTTTAATTTTTCTAACGATAAAAGATATGATTAGTTTTTATGCCATAAAATATATATTTTTAAAATATGAATGAATTGTAATATGAATGTAATGATAATCATAATAATTGCTATTTTTATTAACTAAATTGCAATAAAATTGACGGACAATTGGTTACGCTTGTGCCTGGCTCACAATATGTGATCCAGGTGAAATCATACAACTCGATCATTTAACTCAATCCATATACCGGTATATGAAATGACTTTTGAAATAAAATTTTCGTTAACTCAAGTTGTCTACAGCCCTGTCCCTAAATCTCCGTTACCAATACGCAACTCTATTCAGACACTTACTTAATAATCCGTTAATACAACTCTCTGTCAATCCTGTAAAGAATATGATAATTATGTCAAACCATATGTTTGAATAACATTTAAATAAGAGACAAATTCCAAGCCATAAACAAAGACCCGGATAAACGTCAAAGTCTTTTATGATATATTAGGGACACATAGTTTGCGCCTAATTTTCGCTACAATTCATATGAAATACAATATAAACGTGTCGTTACTTTGGGCTGCGATTAAAGCAATGATGGAATATATATACAGCGGTTCCCATCCGTGGCCAACATATGTGGCCATTAAATGATCGCTCGCTTTATATAAACAGATATATTAAGCAAATGAGATGAAAACATTTTATATCAGTATTTTTGCATTCTTTAGTCCTATTTTCAACACATATTTCAATGTTTTACAACATTTATATTCAAGAATTTATTTCAATTGAAATTTGCGAACAAAATTACAATTAATTAATTTCTGTCAAACACTTCCTATTTTGCAAAAGTTTATGTAATTTTTAAAATTTTAAAACTTTTTTTGCGACAATTCACTAAAACATTAGTGATTTTGTTTGAAACTAAACTAAACTTTACAAATTCGGCGCACAGTTGTTGAGGTCTGACCAGTGGGGGGTCAATGGCTTAAATATCAACATGATACAAACTCCCCGCTTATATGTGTGAAAAACTACGGGCAAATTATCATTAACACCTAGCGAGATTTAGCTGGAAATCGTAAAACCGTACAAAAAACACAACTAAAATCAATTTAAAACAAGTGTTAAAATCTGCGATAAAAGTTAGCCAACAGATCATAAATTACAAAATGTTTTTTTACCATCAGGATATTGCCGGAGAGGGCAGAGACAACCCCTCTGGTCATCCCCGACAGAGTAGACGAAACAGACATCTAATACTCGGAGTGTTTTTGTTTGTGTAATGAAATACAGTGTAAAATAATGGATCATTTAGTTTTCATATACGCTATAGATATGCGACACATACTTAAGAAGTGTATATGTATTTAAAGATCACTTGTAATGTGCAATCATTTTATGTATACATAAAGACCGCAAACGCATCACTGAATTAGAGGAGGAATTAGACGTAAAGCTTCTGTTAATTAGTCGGCTCTACATATCAAACAGTAATATACGGTCGGGTAGTGTATGGTATGGTATGTCATAGTATGGCTCACATATGGCTCAAGAGAGACATGTAAATCAATCACAAGAAGAAAACCAATTAGTGTGACATATATTTTGCTAATGAAAACCAATTAGTGAGAGACCCGTCTAATACTCGGAGTGTTTTTGTTTGTGTAATGAAATACAGTGTAAAATAATGGATCATTTAGTTTTCATATACGCTATAGATATGCGACACATACTTAAGAAGTGTATATGTATTTAAAGATCACTTCTAATGTGCAATCATTTTATGTATACATAAAGACCGCAAACGCATCACTGAATTAGAGGAGGAATTAGATGTAAAGCTTCTGTTAATTAGTCGGCTCTACATATCAAACAGTAATATACGGTCATGTAGTGTATGGTATGGTATGGTATGGTATGGTATGGTATGGTATGGTATGTCATAGTATGGCTCACATATGGCTCAAGAGAGACATGTAAATCAATCACAAGAAGAAAACCAATTAGTGTGACATATATTTTGCTAATGAAAACCAATTAGTGAGAGACCCGGGACTCAATCAAATCACACCAACAAACACTAAATTTCCTGTTAGTTATTCACAATTAAGACATTATTAGCATATGTTTCGCCACACCATACATCTCACGCACCCAATACAGTGCCGTACACTATATGTCACTTATATTATCGTAAATTTAGTTTAATTAATTTCATTATGTTTTTAAATTTAAAGTTATTTTCGTATAATAATATTGCACTTGATTTTTGCGGCAAACGATTACTTCTTTTTTTGCTTCTTTAACGGCACACAAAATATCAAACGATTTTAATTGAATATAAAATAATTTCAATTCGTTTTAATGGCAGCGAAAAATTGCTTCAAATTAATTGTTATGTCTTTGAAGATATCAATTGAATTTTAATTTATAACTAATATTACGGCAGAGAGAGAGAGAGATTTATATTAATAATGTATGTCATATTTTAATATTATTTACTTATATCCTATTAATACACAAATATAAATATTTACATTAATGTGACAATACTTTTTAAATTATTATATGAAAACAATTATTATAAATAGTTTATATTTTGGGTTCTCCTGTCACTTCTCAAACACCATCTCATCTCTCATATGAGAATGACATGAGAGAGAGAGAGAGAGAGAGAGAGAGAGAGAGAGAGAGAGAAATTACATACCATACCGTTTATTAGCCAAAATTTATACACTATTTGTATCATTAGAATAGTTTTTGACCTGAATTTGTAATTTATTGTTAAATTTTGTTTTGTTGCGGACTTTTGCTCTCTTCACGTGTAATACCAGTTCTGGTGAAGACATATCAATAGTTGGGCGACAACTCTAAACACAACAACATTTAAGATATACTGCATTTTAATGTGAGTTATTGTCAAACATAGCGATGTTTTTGTAGTTTATTTTCACTCCCGATATATATTAGAAGAAAAAATATTTTCCTGTCGTTCAGTCTTTACGATAACATCGTTTTGAAAATTTAGAGCCAAAACTGTTTTATACACAATATTAATGTATTCCTATGTCTTACCATTAAAACAGATAGTGGAGAGAGAGAGAGAGAGAGAGAGAGAGGTGATCAGTGAAAAAGGCAGATAAATTCAATTCACACACAAATATTTTTTGCTGATTTATATAGTTTTGTCGTTTTGTCTGCGCTTAAGATCATTATAATTATAATTCATTATTATCTTTATTTATAATTCTATCGAAACATTTTTCCCCTAAAATAAAGTTAACTTTAAGTAAATTAAATATTTTCGCAAATTATTATCTCATTATTATCTCAACTATTTTCTAATTTATAACAACGATTATTAAATATTTCGTTTACCTTTTTAAAAACATAAATTAAATGCGTTTATAGTTTACTGGTATGCAATGCTCTCTCTCTCTCTCTCTCTCTCTCTCTCTCTCTCCTGACGAGTGAGTAGAAAAGCTAATCTCTTAAACACANCTCTCTCTCTCTCTCTCTCTCTCTCTCTCTCTCTCTCTCTCTCTCTCCACTATCACTGTCTGTTTTAATGGTAAGACATAGGAATACATTAATATTGTGTATAAAACAGTTTTGGCTCTAAATTTTCAAAACGATGTTATCGTAAAGACTGAACGACAGGAAAATATTTTTTCTTCAAATATATATCGGGAGTGAAAATAAACTACAAAAACATCGCTATGTTTGACAATAACTCACATTAAAATACAGTATATCTTAAATGTTGTTGTGTTTAGAGTTGTCGCCCAACTATTGATATGTCTTCACCAGAACTGGTATTACACTTGAAGAGAGCAAAAGTCCGCAACAAAACAAAATGTAACAATAAATTACAAATTCAGGTCAAAAACTATTCTAATGATACAAATAGTGTATAAATTTTGGCTAATAAACGGTATGGTATGTAATTTCTCTCTCTCTCTCTCTCTCTCTCTCATGTCATTCTCATATGAGAGATGAGATGGTGTTTGAGAAGTGACAGGAGAGCCCAAAATATAACAATAATAGTGTTTTGGTATATAAGTGGAGAATATGTGTATATATTGTTGGAGTTAATGTCAAATTAATTTGGCCACAAAATAACAAGTTTTCATTTCTCTCTCAGACAGTTGTTCGCCCTTTTGGGCTCATCCATGCCATCCATCCCATGCTTTCATTGTACCCTTCATTCCTCACTCAACACACAAAATATGTGCGCAAAACACTATTTGATAGTATTTTACTCGTAGTATTGGTGGTACTCATGAGTGTTAGAAGTTAGTGAGAGAGTGCCGATCGAGTGCCGCCTTTTCATACCACACACCGGTATGAGAGAGAGAGAGAGAGAGAGAGAGAGAGAGAGAGAGAGAGAGAGAGAGANAGAGAGAGAGAGAGAGAGAGAGAGAGAGAGAGAGAGAGAGAGAGAGAGAGAGAGAGGTGAAAAAAGTGAGAATGTATGGCATATATGAGTGAATATAAATTAAAAGCTGATCAAAGTTTGAGAAGTGAAGGAGAGCTGAGAAATAGCCACACAGGGAGGCAATGGTTCAGCGATGGAGAGGCAACTCCGGCAGAGATCATCGGCATCTTTAGATGGGATGCCCTCTCATTGTTTTCTAGGCGTGTAATGACGAGCCCGCGGGACGGACTCTACCGCCGTTCTCAACCTAAACAGACAGTATGTATAATGGGATACAATTGCCCGCAAAATACATATACAAGAACTCAATATATCTTACGCTATACTGACTGCACACACAATGAAAGACCGCATTTGATGATCGACTCAACCTTTTAGTGCATGCGATCGCTCTTTC